CATTTATCTTAGACTTAACATTACTAATTCTTTGTTCCAAACAAAACCTCGTGCAGTTTATAATGCACCCAAAGATTCATATTCTCCTAAGGCATCATGCTGTTAATCATTGAAAGTTAAATTTCTGATGATGCTTTATGATTGAAGATATAGGTAATAGCGTAATAGGTCCTAAATTTGATATCTGCTATTTGATTGCTTTTAGACTAAATGAACTTCTCCGTCTTTCTTTTGTAGGCTTCTACTTTTGGACTAAAAATGAACTTCTATGTCTTTCTATCCAATGCTTCTACATTTGGACTAAAGTGAACTTCTGTGTCTTTCTTTCCTAGGCTTCCGGTAAATTGACTCCATATATAGCTATAGTCTTAACTTGTTTCCATCAAAAAGACTGTGCATGCGTGGTAATGGTACTCCATCCTATGTAGCTGTCGTTCATTTTGATCTGAAAAGCATCTTGAAGAAAATCTATTGTTGTCTTCATTCTCTTCTTTTCTCCTTTTTTTTTTAAAATTTTAATTTCACATTGTTGGCCGAAAAAGTATATGAAAGAATAAAGCGAGGAGTTTTTTTTTTTTTTTTGTGGCAATATCTCCAACATCGGCATTTATCTCCTGATGAAAGCTTTATGATGAAACATTTGCACATTCATTTCAACTTAGTCTCAGATTAATGCTTTTTTGTAAATAAAGGTCCATATCGTCATATAAATTGTTTGGGGCTAGCTGGATACCTCTCTCTCTCAATGATGTTCTTTTGGAAACCAACTTCATGTTTTCGTATATGTTTTTGTGTTCATGTTCCTAATGCAAAAATTGGTTTGGCAGTTGACATTCTTATACACACTATACATGTCCAATTTTTTTTCAAATTGAATTTGTTTAATTATCTATTTGTTGATGTTAACTATTTATATTAAGTTGGAGTGCTCTCTTGGGAATGTCATCTGATGCAGTCATTGACCATTCTATTGCAGTTGATCCTCAATAAGGTTCTTATGCTGGGATCAAAAACTCAAACAATCATTGGTCGACCAATTTTGCCTGATGCAGCTGTTCATGCTGTTGTTGAGGAGCATGTAAGATACTTCTAGATAGAATACTTAATTCATCTTCAGCTTGTAAGAGATTTGACTACTCTTCATATATAAATGCCAATCTACATAAAACCAAGATACTAAAAATTCGTCAGTCAAGATTTATCAATTATTTTATCATCCTCTGATCGAATTTACTAACAATGGAAACTTATAGCCCCAAGTATTTATTCTGAGGAAAATGTGATTGTGGAATTAGGTGAGCTATACAGAGAAAACTATGGCAATTACAAATCTTGTCATTTTATTTTCTTTAATGTTATTGGTTTGTTAAAATTGTTAGATGGAGAGAACAATATGATTTGTTTTTACCTGAGTGATAATGAACTTAAAGTTGTACAAATAAATTTGTGATCCTAAGGACTAAATGAAGGTCTGTTAAAACAGTTTGGCCTTTGATTGATTTCATTAGCTAATGATGGGTGCTATCCTGATATTCTATTGATGATTTTTGTTGTGGTACCTAGTGACAAGATTTTGTAATTGAAACTATTTTTTAACCAAAAGTGCATATGGGCAGATTAGGATTTAATGGAGCTTTCCTTCCCCTGTGGCTGAAGCTTTGATTGTAACGATTTTCTCTTCCATCTGTTCATCTCATCATCATGCAATTCTATTTTCTTACATTTCTTTTCTCTTGCAGGCATTAGATGCAAAGGTGATCATATTCAAGAAAAAGAGAAGGAAGAATTATAGAAGAACAAAAGGGCATAGACAGGTAATTGAAATTTTCATCAATTAGAATTTTACTGCATTAATATTGTTTTCATCCGTTTTCTCGTGCATGCTCCTGCTCTTTCTTCTATATGTCCAAAAAAAATAAAAAGAGATGGGCTATTCTCTAATTAGAACCTTAAAATTGATTCCCCTCTTCTCCCTGTTTCAGGAATTGACCAAATTGAGGATAACAGATATAGTAGGGATTGAAAAAACAGAAATGCCATCTTCGAAGATGGAGAAGAAAGATAAGCTGCCATCTTTGAATACGGAGAAGAATGAAAAGCCAGAAAAGATACCTGTCATGGCTTAATCTTGACCTGTGCTCATAGAGTTGGCTCTTTCTGACTGATGTTTTTAACAGCTCCTCCACAGCCCATGCCCCCAGGGGGTAGAGGACGGGGCAGGCTGTATTTTCGATTTATTTTCTTCTCTATTTTCCCATATTTCTTTCCCTCCATTTTTACAGAACTGATATCTGATATAATTATTTGAAACTAGTTGTCAATGCTGCCTGAGACAGCATTGCATCTTCGTCCGTTTTCTCACCTTATAAGCGGGATGTAATGTGAGCAAAAGCCCCAGGGAAACAGCATTGTTGTGAAGCTTCAGGCTCTGTATTAGTGGTGGAAATGATGTCAATATTTTTGAGCAATTTTTTCCGTCATATCATCCCAATATTAAATCTTTAGTTTTTTATTATCCTTTATTTTATTTATTTATTTATTATTATTATTTTTAAAGCATTGCTGTGGTGGAAACGCATGGTTGTGGATGGTTTATAACTTTATATTGAGGATTTCAGATATTACATCCCAGTATTGAATTTGTAGTTTTTCCTTTTTGATTTTCCTTTTTGTTCGTAGTAATATTTTGCAGTCTTAATATCATATTGATTACCAAATAAAAGATAATTGACGCAATACATCTATTGTTTGCTTTCATTTCACTGTTTCTATAATTTCAATTCTGATATTTGGCTCATCAGATTCACCTTTTTTTTTTCGCACGAAATATTTTTATCGTCCAATATATCCGTTAAAGCATTGTAAAATGATGAATTACATTATTTTCAAATAAACTAATAGAAAAAAGAAAAGGATAAAACAGTAATTAACATTCAGAATCCTAGATATTTTTAATGAACTCGTGTGCGTACGTACGTCCCTAATTGCATTTTTTTGGCTTCATTAACCTCATGACATAAACAGATAAACTTGATCGTAGGATCTCGTTGTCTAAATTTCATCTTGTTCAGACATATAGTCAAAGGTTACACACGCATGCTAGACCCCTTTAAAAAGTGAAGGACTGAAAAATTAAGGATATCGAGCATTTCTTTTGGTGTCCTAGAATTGTTTATCAAGCATGGCTAGTCCGGTCCCACGTGCACCTGCACCGGTGGAGACCAGTCGGAAAATTAGCCGGTCAACGAGGAACAAGTGTCCACCACCATTTCTGTCGAAAACTTATGATCTTTTGGAGGCGGAGGAAGAAAAAAGAGGCGGCGAAGAAGCCTCTGAAAATGAAAGGCAAAAGATTGTTTCATGGAATTCTCAAGGCAACGGTTTTATTGTATGGTCTCCTGCAGAGTTTTCTGAGTTCATGTTGCCAAAATATTTCAAGCACAATAACTTCTCAAGCTTCATTCGACAGCTAAATACTTACGTTAGTCCTCCCTCCCTCTCTCTCTCTCTCTCTCCCTCTTTTTGTCTGAAAATTTTGTTAAAAACAATGAAATTGTTGTTCGGTTCTTGTACTTGATTCTGACTAATGCGCACATAACTAAATCATGAAAGAAAAAGAAGTAAAATTTTGTTAGATAAGCTTGGACCGAAACCCTACTTACCCATATTTCTTGTACAATCAAAACAATGGGCTGAGTCTTGAATAATTCAAATCACTTCGGCTTCTATCGTAATGGAAGATTTTCCATTTTTCTATCTTTTTCCTTTTGTTGTTACCATGGACGACATGATGATGAATACTTTTACCAGAGACCAAATTTTGTCATGAACTCATAAAATTCAAACCATTTAATGGAAGTACAAAACTGAAATTCAACAAATCACGAGATTCAAAATTATCTAGCTGCAGCCTTGAAAACCAGATGAGTTTGGCTTAATTAATATATGATTAAGAAAGACGATGAAGGCTTAGTTCTTGAATTCATTTAACTCATTACGTCGAGAACCAATGACCAAGTCTTCTCAAGAATTGTTACCGAGTTAAAATTCGTTAGTTTTTCTAACAGATTGTTTGAAATAGGGATTCAAGAAGACGGCGTCAAAACGATGGGAATTTCAGCACGTGAAGTTCCAGAGAGGGTACAAACATCTGCTCGCAGAAATCACGAGAAAAAAATGCGACACTAGTGCATTTCCAGCATACCTAAAAGCCTCTGAAGAACACAAATGGATGGCCATGGAAGAAGAAAATACTCGATCAATGATGATGCTAATGGAGGAGAATAAGAACCTAAGAAGGCAGAAAATGGAGCTGCAAATGCAAATAGCTCATTTCAAGACAATTGAAATGAAATTGTGGGAATGCATGAGAAATCATGGCTACCAAAATAAAGTTAGATGTTGAATTACGCTATCAATAGTGTTCAATACGACGTGAACAAATAATATTGTACACATTACCTCATTAAATAAGTCATTAGAAACGGAAAAAAATCTTGGAGAAATAAAAATTAAGCTAGTCGAAAGTGATATATGTTTGTACGTCTGACTTTTTGAATAATTGAAAATAGACATTTTCTTCATCTTTTGTTCAACACTATTTCGATCAAAATTCAGACCGAAACAATATTTTACCCCTAAAATTCTAGTCAATTGTCGTGCCTCATTTTCCATATTGCCTATCTTTGTTCAACATTTGTTTCGTTGGAGAATTTGACTTCAATTGTTTATTTCTATTCTTAGCTTTTGGAAGTTAGCCCCATTTGACAACCATTAAAGAGTTTTTTTTTTGGGGCTAAAAAAATGAGTTTTGAAATAGTAATTTTTTGAATAATCCTTATTTAAAATATAGAAAAAAAATTGAATTTACGTACAAAATATTTTATTGTGAGAATGTGATTAAAAACGAATTTGAAAAAAAAGAGTTTTGTTTTGGAGTTACCCTCTACATGTACATGAGATTTTCTCCTGCACATGTCCAGGTCGATAATTGTACCCTTGGCATTGTAATGTCCGGATGAACGTGTCTCCCCGGTATTGTACAAGGAAAAAATCATCTGTATATATAACTGTATTCTTTGTTTTAATGGTTGTCTGAAACCAAATCTGTCAAAAGATGACGTTGGTGCACGAATTCTCTTGGTTCGTTTGACTTTGATTGCAAATAAATTTATGAACATTGCTATACAGTCGGGTCAAAGTATATAAACCCTAAATTTATCGTGTTGGCTAGAGAAAAAAGCAATTTTTTAAAAAAATTGTGATTAAACTATAAGAAAATGTCATGAGTAGATGTGCAGAATTATTTTATTGAAAAATTGTGTGATAGAACTTTATCTACTCAAATCTCAATATGATATGCCGATGGGCTTCTGTAGACTAAGGCAGTCTTGCACCACAACTGGTTCGGTGGCACCATCAAGGACCTCTTTGACAAGATTTTCAAAAATTCAAAAATTATTTCTGAGATTAAAAAGCTGTTTTTAAATTCATTTGAATAATTTTTTAAAAGTTTTATATTTAATTAAAATATCTTTCAAAGGAAGCTATCACAATATAATTTGGGTTATTAGCGCAAAACGTCCCTACCTATGGCGGGTTGTGTGGAAAACGTCCCTACGTTTGATTTTTTGGTGCAGAACGTCCCTACCTATGCATTTTCTTGCGCAAAACGTCCTTTTCCCTAATTTTTAACTTAAAATGACCTATATACCCTCCAATTGAAATAAAAGGAAAAGGGA